CAAATCCAAGACTATACACCGCTTGGGCATAGCTGGTATATACTCAACCTGTGTGTTACACACTCCGGAGAGAACTAAACCATTTGAATAGACGGACCTTGCGCTCTTTGCCCCGTCACACGAGCAAGACAGCTCTCGTAAAAAATGAAGCGTGGTCCAGACAGTAGTCGAAATTCAGATAAGCTAGTTAGTCAATTCCAACTGCCCATTGCAACGTTAATAATAGATTCTATACCTGATCCCACTATATGCGTATATTTATACGTCTGAGTTTATACAAGTTGGCCTGTTGGATATGCGATTTCGATTACATGATTACTGGTTGACTTGCCGTCTTCATAGCTTCATGAAATCTTTGAAAGGATGACGAGCTTTCTAGCACCCAATTAAACATCGTTACCCACATATGTGGCAGCTCCAACGAAAGTAAGTAGGTTCCTGATATGTATTCGGATGGACTATCACTTACACGGTCCGTCTATGTAAAACCGTCTAGGTCTTGGTCCTCCAGCACAGCTAGAGAAGAGTACCCAATCCGAACAGCCCATCAGGCTCTTTGCTTGATATACTTCGTATGCGTCCCACTCGCGACCACCGGGCCAACAACTCCATCGATAACCTTTGAAATGACCACCTTCGTGAAAGCCACCGACCCCCCAACCTTTTCCGCCGTCCCTTCGATCTCGATCTCGTCTCCCTCCTTGGCTGATGACAGATACCGCACGTGAATATCAACCGACACGCCCGTCCTTTCCCGTAGATCCCATGTTGCTATGGCCATGCCGCCAGCCCAATCCACGATAGTGGCCGAAACGCTCCCGTGGATGCCGCCGCCTGAGTTGATGTGGTTTTTGGTGAGCTTCAGCCGTGCCTTCACGCAGCCCTTAGCTGCCGAGTGGATCTGGACACCTGAGAGTAGGAAATTGTAGATCGGAGACCGAGGCAGATTGTTGGCCACCAGACTCTCGATGTGGGCTTTGATACTGTCGTTATCCGCCTCCATGGTGACTGTGCGGCTTGGAGACAATTAAAAGTGGAACTCGTAGGTCTTGTGTAGGACATGCGTGTCTCCTTGCGCCAAAATACGAAGTGGTGATATCAGACATCTCACTTCGCAACTCTAGTAGTGATGAGCGATAAATTGGCGTGGGCTGCTTGCAGCTGCCTGCAAGCGGCAGCATGTGCGTCTCTCTGCATCACAGCTGTCAATTCTGTATTCGCAGCTATCTCAGAGCCAGCTTCTTGGACGGAAAATCTTATGGCCGGCAACTGAATACCAAGTAAATGTAAAGATCGCGCTGTAGACTAGTGAAGCAGTGATCAGCTTTTCGTGGATGCATGAGATGCAGTGAATAGTGGGGGGAAAAGCCTACTACACTGTGAAAGGCAGCGAGACCGCTGCAACGAAAGAAGATACAGTATTAAACCTTCTTGTGGCAATCCTGCTGGACGGACATCAGGATGAATAGAAAGTTGTTTCTATTTGCACTGACTGGTTTATAATCATATAAACCTGCCTATGGTGTAGACCCCGACCCTTGCAGAGTAAAGCATTGCTCTGGATTCAAGCGCTCTATCATTTCTCCTTCTGCAATCTATAGTCTACTAACACAGTCTCCTATATACGCCTGGTCCGAATCGGTGATTGCCATCTTAATGGCCAGCCAGTCCGGTGAAATGTTTTCTCCTCTGTATTGATACAATCTGTAAGTTTCTTCCGACGTGCGTTTGACCTACACGTCTACAATGCCTCCGGGAAACGCGTACATATATCGTGATCTGTCGGTTCCTGTTGTCACACAGTATCTCTCCAAGTTCCGATCTTCACGCCGAGAATCAGGAGGTGGCGTACTGATGTAGCAATCATCATAAAGGACGTGTTCCTCGACGACTTACTCGCAAAATGCAAAGAGGGACGGGCTGCTGAAGTAGAGAATTCTAATAAATCTCGAAGCGCTTGAGATAGTATGACAGAGTTATGGATTTAGTATCACCTGTCGTGCTTTATTTTGGATCTGACCCCGTCTTCTCCCGGAAAGAGCTCATGGAGTAAGACCATTGGCGGGAGATAGGAAACGGGGCATGCGCCTGGCAAGTCCACAGTATCATCTTTACACAAGTGCGCTGCTTGACATATTGATTAGCATGCTTTATATATAATAAGAAAGTACCATTCTTGCCACTTCTGAAGTTGTAATCTTGATTTCTAGGTCCATCGTTAGGCCTGGAGGTGCAGTAATCTCACTTCAGACCGATGTTCTCGACATTCTTCATTGACATATTCTCCTCATCCATCAGTCCGAGAATGTAAGCTTCGTCTGAGAATTGGTAATCGCCCTCGACAGGATGCAACACACAAGGCACTTGTCCACCCATCAAAATACACACTCGGTCACCTTTCTGCGCTCATGGCAGCGCCTGGCCCAGAGGGTCTTTCTTCGTAATCCAAAACCGCCGGTTATCGATGTCCCAGTCCATTGTCTGATGCCCACATGGCAGCACTAGTTCGGGACACATAATTGCCTCTTGTTTGACCTACAAGCGGTTTAACCAGGGTCTCCGCAGAAGAATAGCAAGACTGAAAATTATGGAGGAAAACTCGCGCGTTGAAAATGAATCCACCCGGTCGGGAGTCCTGCTTGGTTCCACTTGGCTTTCGATGGGTAATACCAGAGACGACTGTATCCATCTGGGACTTCTCACCTAGCCATGCAATTACTCGCTTCGATTTTGAGTAGATTTCACGCATCAGCGACACTCACTGATTGCGCCCTGGCACGTCATCCTAGTTGATGCAGATGGTGCCTGTCCACAATTTAACAAGCGCGGGCTGTTTTCTTATCGAAGGTATTGCAACATCAGCTCCACGCTGGGGAAGATGGATAACATGCTGTAATCGGAGTTCTGGACGGCCACGTTGCCCTTGCCCGTCGTGGTATTCTAGGCATAAGACGGAGCTTTGTAATTGGGAAGGTTGTCTAGAGACGCGTGTCTGATTCCTGCAGGGACTGGGTCACTTCCTCTACCACGCATGAATCCATTAGCCGGATTCCTTGGGGTTGTTCAGCTTCTGGTACTTGCATTTCGGTGGGGAGTCCATATCTGCAGCTCATGTTTGTCAAGCTGGTATCTATGTGTACTAGACGCAAGAAGAGAGTCGTTGCAGCTATCCCAGAACGACGTCAAGCGTTCACGGAAAACAGAGCTGGAGGCGCGCAGTAAGATGCCAAGTTGCCAACCGCTGTTCCCTCTGCTGTGGGGTAAGAGCCCAGAACATGGGTCGCAACACTGTGCTGGACCTATATTCCACGGGCAATCTGGTAAGTTATCGCAAGTAACGGGTTTATAGTAGCTTCTCGTGTACTGCAACAAGCTCGATTGTCTTCAAACTGGCTGTACCCGTGGATCTCGTCACCATGTTGCTTGTGACAACGCGACGGGTGTCTTATGTGGTCGCTATCTACTCACAAAGTCCATTTCTCATAATCCGGAAAATACACGTCTTGTATCCTGCCGACATAATCTAGAATAACAGGAAACGCCTTGACCACCTTTTGCGAGTCTGGCCCAGCAGTGCAAACCAGCACCGAAACGATAAAACCAAACAGCGTCGTGTCGGCCTCAGTTGGCTTCTCTCCCCCAAAGACCCAAAACGGCTTCCCAGCATCTGCGTTACCAGACTTTGGTCGCGCTGCGACAAGGAGATCATTGGTGGCTTCCCAGATTTCGCGACGGAAGCCTGAGATCTCCTCCGGTGTGTAGCGTCCCGTCCCTTGGCCGTGTAGCGTAGCGATGGTGCCCCGGTAAGCCATCATGCCCACAACGACGCGCACGGGGTACGGCAGCGCTTGGAAGATATGATCGCGCATGGTGTAGTAGTTCTGGGTCCATCTTTCCCAGCTCTTGATGGGTCTCGTCAGCATGCCGGCCGTCAATGACACACAATCGGGCTTCACTGACATGGTAGAAATACAACTTATCCTCAAGCAGTGCTCGCAGTGCCGAATCTCGAGCCCGTGCCGCTGGCGAGAGCTCTGCGTTGATGTCGGGAATCACATTGCATTCAGACAGAGCTTTGACAATGAGGCCAGAGTCGCTCAGCCGTGCCTTCGTTCCTGATCCTGCGAGATTGCTGCACTCAACGTATGGGATTTTGCCTCTGGGGGCAGTCCTTGGGGAGCCTGCTCCCGTCGTGTACTTCACACCCGCGAACCGCAGACGTGCTTCGAGCTTTATGACGAACGGTGACCAGACATGTTTCCCAACGTCTTTCCAGCCTCGAAAGACGGTGATGTCTGGCTTCCCAGTCTCTATCGCTGTCGACATGATCGCATGAATTCCTTGAACGCTGGATGAGTATAGATTGCGTCTTTGTCAGAGAGACGGATGTTCCATTGCATACGTGGGGAGACATTGAATCACTTTCCATAGAGCTAGCTCGGGATCTCGTCCCGAAAGAATAATAGAGGCATAGATATGAAGATTTGTCTTAGTGCTGCGCCCCTCGCGCGTCGCGCCGCGCTGGTAGGAATGTCGTTGTGGTGGCTTTGAACTCGGCACCGGGGTTAGAACTCACTGCTTTCACCGACTGAATATCCACACCTTCACTCTATTTTGACTTGTCCGAGTAGTCCGAATTGTTCACACAAGGATTTGTTACTATATAGTACCTAGAATCCTCAAGACGATAAGATTAGATGAACATGTCTACAAATACTTAAAGGCTTTCATCCTAGCCGCCGTAAATGGAACTGGTAAGATATACAGAATAAGAAAAAGAATCGAAGCTCAAGTACTTAAGGCTTCTGACAAGTTATCTTGATGGATGTAGGAGGCTCGTTTCCAGTTAGACTAGCGCAACGACAATCCGGGAGCTATCACCCGAGAATACCCCGAAGCCATTGTATTGGATAGCAACATTCGCCAGCTAGACGATTCTCAGCCGCCCAGATTGCACGTGTTCCAGGGTGAGATAACGGACCTATTAGATAACCACAACAGGCGCTGTGGCGGAGCGGTTAACGCGATAGACTAGAATCAATAATTCTGATATCTATTTCCTTCGGGAGCGCAGGTTCAAGTCCTGCCGGCGTCGAATCAACACTTTTTTTGCTTTTGTTTTGCCCTTTCTTTTTGCCTTCCTCGTTTTACTCCTAGTAAACTAAAACGCGTTTTCTCTTCGAGGGAGAAGAAAAAGAGATTTGATAGCACTTTCTGATTCCCCGACTTTTCTTTGGTATTCAGCTGGGTGATGCGTTAGTCGGTTCCATTGACTTGGGTAGGTTAAACGGGTTAACGGGAGTTCTGGTGGTGAAGCAGATATACTTTTTATGAGGTGCCGGGACGGACTGAACGTTGACCAAAGTCTACTTCATGATCGTTATGCAAACCTGATGCTCATGCCGAAGCGATGGCATCAAGTACCAGAAACAGACAGAAAGCGCAGGCGCATGGCTATATAAAGCGTACGCTGCGGTGTCCGATGCGACTACCCTAGCTACACGGTTATCTACGAGAGCAGTTCGCCAGCCTAGCCTTCTACTGCCGGCCCAGGCTGTGAACCGAACCACGGACAGTATTCGTAACTGGAAGCCGGGATTGAGAAGCCGTAATTGTTCAATTGTATAGCTACAAATGCCGATACCTGCACCTGTGTAACGCCTCCTTCTATATATGAGCAATTTCCTATACAATCTCAGGACTTTGCAAGAGTCCTACTGATTTGACTGAAGCTGTGGTAACATGCACCACGGCAGATTAGCATATCTCACAGCGACGCAATTTGCGGGCGATGCATCCATCGCATGACTCCTCACTCCTTGGCCAGATTGCCGCCCGACTCTTTTGCCGCCGACTCAGTAGACCCGTTGAACTAGCAGGTCACCCGGTAATTCCTGCTTAGTTGCGATCAATAGCAGGTAGTCAGTCTAGCGCTGCTTACGTGCGAGCTCTGGCTACCCTCTATCCCCTCCACTTCTCACACCAGAGCTCTTAGTTCCAGATACGAATTCGACAGGCTGACCAGGCGTATTGTAGTCCTTGGCTGTTGCCGCTCTCTCAGGCAAAGTAACTCTTCCAAAGCACACCTTCCAAGTCCTCCAACTGTTCAGATGTGAAATACTGCAAATATCAGTCCAAGTATTCAAAATTCCGCCCATAAACCGTGATCAATGACATACCTTCTGATCAACCCCCCAACTGTCCTGTCTCGTCTTCTTGAACTCGGCCAGAATACTCTTGGTCGCCTTACCCACGACTCCCGGATCACTAGCCGCACGTCTCGCGAGCAGCGCCAACACCTCAGGCATCCAGCTCGGCGGCGGTGTCGCATACGGGAACGCCTCGACCAGCGCCCCCAGCCCCAGAACTGCCGCGTGTCGCTTGACGATCTGCTGCGTGACGTTGACGGGCGTGTCCGTGCCTGGGACCTTCTTCTTCGGCATGGGGTTCCGCGCAAGCTGGCTTTCGAAACGGGTCTTCAGTGTCTCGATGATGGGGTTGCGGATCGCGGCCGGCGAGCATCGGATCATGCCAGCCAGAGTGGCGCTTGCGACTGTGCGCACCTCGAGCTGTGGATCTGCGAGCATATCGCCTACGGCGTCGAAGAGAAGCTCGCGCTGTGCTGCATCCGTGAGGAAGAGACGACGGAAGTAGATTACCTGCATGTTGACAAGAGCGCGCAGCCGTTGATGCCATGACGTCGCAGTCTTTCCAAGTCGGATCAAAGCCTCGATGAATGCCGTGTCCTCGCCCGAGCGGAACGGAATGTTCGGGAGGTGGCGGTAGACGTGGTATGCCAGGCGCATCAGCTCAGGATCTTCCTTGACGTCCATCATATGCAAGAGCTGGTCGATGAAGGGATCCGGGAAGAACGAGATGAGCTGAGTACATTCCTGAGATGACAACGTGCTATCAAGCCATGTCAGAACCGTCTTGGACCCGGAGGTGTAGGATGAAGGTGTTTGCTGTCCCGGTGTGCGCTCTTTTCGCCATGTCTCCAACCTATCAAAGACGTCCTTGACAGTGGCCGCGAACTTCGCCGTTGGCTGGTAAGGTCGGATGCCAATGGCAGCCTCGGCCTTGTTCTTCTCGAGTAGAGCCGATACGTTCTCGAAAGACTCGTGGTATCGAGTGCGATAGATCGTCGCAATGACTCGGCCGATTGCCTCCCGTACAGTCTTGTATGGGTGGTCGATGTGGCTCAGGAAGTTGTCGAGAATCGACTTGTCAATGCGGAAGTGCCAGCCGCAGTCGTTGATTAGAATCTCGAGGAGCAGTACTTTGGAAGATTCCTTGAATGCTGCATTGGACGACATATCAAGCCGGAAAGAGCTAAGACTCTCGACAAGCTCATGAGCACGCCGGGGATCTTTGGTGTCTATGACAAAGTGGAGGCAGGTACTCCAGTAGTTGAGGTTCTCCGGCGTCAAGCTGTCCGCGAAGATCTTGAGCATCAAAGGCTGAGCAAAGCCCCAGGCACGGTCCCTCATGTCAATGGGGTCATCCGCAGAGCCCGCAAGCAGGGCGCCGACGATTTCAGCGGTTGCACGGTGTTGATGCTTGTCAGTGCCATCGCCATAGACTTCCATGGTCAACGTCTTGACATCCTCGAAAGTCAACTCGGTCTGACCATAATTCATCAAGTCGAAGACATGCATCAGAAGGATCACATTCTGACTTCTGAACCTATCCGAGGAAGAGTCCCGCGGCTCCTGCTTCAAATAATCGAAGCACTTTGCAAGCCATTCCTTGGTCAGCAGTTTACCAACTTGCTTCCTCGCAGCAGTCTCTACATCGTCATAATCATCAAAGCGATTTGGCTTTGACCTGAACGCAGTGAATTGCTTTCCCCAGACAAGCCAGCCAACGTGATCAGTATCCACAAAGTACTCGGCGGTCTCGGGATGCGTGAACTGATCAAGGAACTTCTCCGTGAACGCAACGTCCCCTTTGTTCACCGGCACTGTGACCTTGTTCGAGTCCTTCTCCTTCTCCTCAAGGTAATCCTTATAAGAGTGGTTGTAGACGGCGCGTTGATCCACAACCGTAAAGACATTAGAAAAAGCCGTAATGTAACCTGTTCGGAGCCCGGGATGGGGATCGTTCGCTCCCTTGACTACGAGTTCGATGAACTCGGGAGGAGCAATGGCATTGAAGCGAAGGCATAAGTTGGTCGCAAAGATGGCACACCTACTCGCTGTCTTCCAATGCGATTCCTTTGCCAAGGCAACAAGCTCCAGACCGAGAGCACCTTTCTTCTCTTCAACCTTTTTCCTGCGTTCGACGATGAAATCGTGCCGTGAATCAATGACCCTCGAGCAGTCCTCGGAAGGCTTGATCAAGTTGACGACATTTTCGTCCAACAGAACCATGATCTCAAACCGCTTTCCAAATTCTATCAGCGGGTAAAGAGCCGTCGCGCCGAGGTTCTGAATGGATGCCTTGTCGACACCTGCTGTTCTGATGTAGAGGCGCATGAGATCGGGTGCGAACCTCCAGTCCCTCATCAAGGTCTTGAGTAGGCTCGTGAACAGCAGGGTATACATGGAGCCCTTGATGCGATCATGATCGACCTCGTCCAGAGCCTTGCGGAATCTTTCTAATATCACAGGGATAACCAACGGCCGTCCTCCGATCAACACCTTCAATGAGGCATCTTGTGCCCCTTGGGCAACTCTTCGCACATCGGCATACGGGGAAGTACATGATTGCGCGAGGTCAAGCAATAGTTGCTTGTCCAGTTCGCTCTTCCTCCTAACGGAGGCATTGTGCTTGACACGTTGAATTTGGTATGCATCCGCACGTTTGATCAATAATGGCCGAGGGTAGACTTTTCGCAGGCTGCAGATCTTGAAAGGGCTGATGTCTGCCTTGTAGAGCCTCTGCAGCCGTTCCAAAGGATGAGCAGACCTTTCGAATCCCACATCCGTGATCCATGTTCGATACGTGGTGTAAAGTGCTGTGAAGCATGATACGTCGTCTTCTTGGTGTGTGTTTAGGAAGGAATGCGTACGGGAAAGGAGGCGTCCGATGTTGTCTCGAATATCGTGGATACGTGTGTATAGTGGATCGTCGTTGGACAAGAGATAACCACCTTGGTACTTGTACTGAGGTCGCGTCTCATCATCCTCGCCGACTTCAGCAAGCGGATCCTCCTCCTCTTCATCGCTATCCTTCATCTCTTCATCGCTGTCATCTTCGGCATGGTGGCCATTCGTGTGACCATTTGACTCCCCGGCTGCACGTTTAGGATCAAACAGAGTGGCAATGCCCGAGATAACTAGACGCAATTGACTGAGTTGACGTGATACCTCGTCAGACCACTCCTTGTTCTTCCCCTTTCTGCTGACTGGTGGATTGTCACTCATGAAAGATTCTAGTCTCTGCATAGCTCCTTCAGCCTGTGACTGGAACAATTCGACAGCAAATTGGAGTTCTTCAGGTATTGACCGATGCCATTTTATCGTCAGGTCAGTTGGAGCTGTCGTCTGTCCCCAGTCATCAACATCCAAGCCTCTCTGGATCACGTCCGGCTCGTACAAAGCATTATCGATCGGATAAGTGTGCGTCAGGTTGAGCAAGAGATGGTGGATATAGTTGCTGATGTGGAGTGTCGGCAGTCCACGGCACTTCTCTTGCATGTACTGGGCGATATCAAAGAGATCATTCTTGTACTTGAGTACTTCAGCACCGACATGAACAACACACATACTCAATATGCTGACATGCCACACGAGTGCTCTGTCTCGAGGGAGGACCTCGGTACCACTACTTCGATCTGACGCTGCCCCGTTGTAGTCGATCTCATTTCGTATGTTGACTATGAGCATCGGAATGAACACCTTGAGCGTCTTTTCGGGGTTGACCTTGCACAATGCATTGCAGATCCATGCCATGCTGTCCCGAGCTTGATGCACAACGTGCGTGGAGACGAAGGCTGACAACTTCTCCAGCGCCATGTCGAACAGCTGGGGCGAAAGCGAGGCAAACAGCGGCGTCAAAGATGCCGGAAGAGTATTGATGATGTTGTCTTCGGGTGATCCAGTTCGAAGGTGAGAAGAGTCGGGCAGATTCTCCAACAACGTGAAGACCTTG